GAACAGACCTCCAGCCGAGACCGGCACTAAAGAGTATCAATAAAATGGGGAGCTTAGAATTGGCCTGTGCGAAAGCACGTATTCGTGATCGGCGATCGGAAGACACGGTGGATCAAACCTTAATCTTACGTAGTAGCAGCAGGGCCTCTACGAGGACTTCTAGTAGCACAACAGCGGCGACACCGACAGCCATTGCTAGTAAACGATTGCGCGAAGATGTCGAGAAAGACGTTCCTCGAAAACGTGCTTCCATCAGTGAGCTACAAGATCTGATGGGCGGCCCAGAACATTGGAACCATCAAACGCACTATGTTGCTGCTGCTGCTGCTACTGCTCCCAAGCACTCTATGCTACGGCAAGTCGTCGCCCAGCGGGCGTCGTCAGTAACGGACAGTTCCTGTGATACGAGTATTACTAGTGATGAGATCGTGACCCCTGATATGTCGTCCCTGCCTCCCAGTTCCCCACAATCCGTCGCGTGCCAAGTTCCATTCCCGTCGGACTCTGGCGCAACCAAAGAGTTGGTGAAGAAAGCGAGTTTGCCGGTCGAGGTCGAGGTGAGGGAAGATCCCCTACACGGACTGGCGCCTCTAGAAGCGAACGCCGCCATGGTTCTAGCCTCGCTATTTGGTGGACTGTAATAAGATGAAAGGACACGAAAATAAGGACCTGCAGATGACGGAGATGAAACGCTCGTGTCGCGTCGTGTTAAACTATCCGCAGGCTGTCGTGCAGGGATTCTAGTTCGCTTGGCGCTCTTCCTCCCCAGGTTTCTTTATTACACAGAAGGTGTATTCACGTTGATTCCCCTGTCATGGCGAAGGAGATGTGCCACACTGGAGCCCATCCTCTGTCAGGCACTTGACCCTTGCCAACCCTCTAATTTTCTCCCCATCTGGTCGCGATATGTCACACAGTTTCTTTAACCTTTTACCTACCCAAACCTCCGCCGGAACCAAGGATATGGTTTATGGCTACCCACATGTATATATGCTCGACAGAGTCTGCTTATCTGCGCTCTGCTATGCACTACGGGCTGTCTTGTATATGAAATACTAGCTTCATTTAGAGAGGGTTTCTGAGTATTGGATGCAAAATAAGAAATGAAACGACCATGTGTGTGGAGAACAGGGTTAAGCGGTCGGTATCGGTAATTGCAAGGAACCCGGGTCCCGGCGAGCATACAGCTCAGTGGCTTGTCGTTCATGAAGATATACTTTCGGGGATCTAACTAAGTCTTGTGACATTTGTCCCTCGATTTTATTAAGTCAAACACTCTTCTTGGTCAGGTCTTGGAACGGCAAAGTCCATGGGGTCCCTGCCTTTTTCATCTGGTTAAATTCGTACCACTTAGCCCTGCTCACCCGATCCTGCTAACTCCCCCCCACACCACCTCGCCTCTCTTCCTCCCCCCTTCTAAACATCCGCCCTTCCCTCAGCTCATGATATTGGGAGCGATATCATGGGCGCAGCGACACATGGCTCAGTAATAGACTCGTTCACGGATGTTGCCAACTCTCGGTACCTCGCAGGTAAGGTTTCGATCATCTACGAGGAGAGAGATAGCTAACCACGCATCCTACACTCTGCGCACAGTATCTGGGTTCACGTTGGTAGTCTACGACTGGATACTGCTGTTCGCCGATGAGCTCGAATTGGTTGGCAAGTCCCGCATGTCGCTGGGCAAAGTACTGTATTACTTTGTGAGTAACCCTGCGCGACGAGCTCACCTGGACACACGATGTTAACTCTTCATGTTTCTTCAAGAGCAAAATCCTAACTACCCTCGGCATGGCCTTTGCGTTGTTTCGTGAGTAGCCGATCTTCTTGCTAGCCCGGTGGGGCAGGGGTGTTCTAGGCTGGTTCGCTGATACCGATCTGCTCGCCAGACCTTTCAGACTTGCGTGGACCACTCTCTAAACAAGTAAGTCGACATCGGATAGACTCTGATGACTTTGCGCTGACGAACATTTCGCTAGTTGTGAGTATACGCCCACTTCCTTCGCCCTCCCCTCAAGTTAGCCAAGTGCTGGCCACTGGGCGTAGAAGCAGAAGAAGAGCTGTTGACTGACTGATGGACATATCTTCTCGGCAAACAGCTGTGTTATTTTCATATTCATCTGCCCGCTCATGCAGGTCATGTCTCTCCTCGCAAGCTACTGTATGTCATCTCTTCTTCTCTTCTTTCTATCGGGACCCCTTCTCGTGCCACCCACCCCCATGTGTTTCCCGCTTCCCGCCCCCTTTTCGAACCCTCTCATGCCGCATTCCGT